AATAATAAATAAATATAAGAATCCCTTAAATTATCTATCTATCTTTCAAGTAACGTGTTTACCATTTCTGTTTCTTCGGAAATTTCATGCTCATCCTCTTCATTCATATATTCTAATTATTATTTGATTCGATGTACTGTTCGCAGTGATTTATTAATTGTGGTGCTTTGCTTTGTTTTGACCATTCTAAAATTTCGCATACATTATGAACATTGACATGACTACTTATAATAGTATCTTCCAATTTATCTTTGAATGCGTCAGCACCATGGATATCAGTTATCTTTAACAAATGAACCAAAAAGTTTAAATAATAAGTTTCATAACTTTCTGTTCGTCTGTAAAGTTTTCTTTCTTACGTAAGGTGACTTTGTTGCTTCTTCAAAAGATTTTCCATACAGCCATTGATGAAACACCCGGCATGCCTCTGGTCGAACATCTTTTAATTCTATAATTTTAACTTCTTTGCTTGCTGACTCACTAAAGCCATCACAAAACATCGTATTAAAGTAACTATTTGAAAACAAAAATTTATTACTTAATTGAGATAAAAAATTGACTGAAATATTTCTAACGTACCTGAAAGCACATATCTACTGGCACCAATTTGTTCCTTCTCACTACCAACAATAAAAATGACATCGTTATATTCATTGCTAGAATGATTAATAAGTTTGTTCAATAAAGCATCAAACAATATATCTTTTTGATCATGTTCTCGGATTGTTACATTGTACGAATAATGGCCGGAGAAAAATTTTTGAGAAAATCTTTATGTCTAGAATCTTTCAAGGCTTTAATTGTGTCAAGAGATGTTGATATACACCTATTCATCTTCCGAATATCCATTAAAAATTGATAATCAATGATAATTCTGATTCTTTGAATAAATGTATATCATATAAATTTGCTGGAACTTCAGATACTGTTCAAATATCATACAATGAAAGGAGGTCCTTTGAATACACGATCCTCAACATTAGGATTTTCTACAACATTCTGCAACAGATCCTTGCAAAATTTACCTATGCTACCTGATGTACTCCTCTAACTATTGGCCAAAATTTATACATATATATCATCGGATCTAATGTTAGGAATTTTAAGCGGGAGCTCACGAAGAATTTTCGCCAAAGCCTTTGGTAAGACAATTTCAAATAAATATCTATTCCATGAAACTTTTAGACTAGCTAACGCATCCGCCGCCTATAATTTGACATTCGATATTCGATTTATTAATAAAATTTTTTATTTTTAGCATACAATAATTACAGCATAAATATATATATAGTTCAATTACCAGGTCTTTGTTGTCTGCAGCCGACCATAAAGAACGACGATTATTACTAACCTGTTAAAAAAATTATACATATATGTATATTATTTTAAAGATTCAAGATAATGCACAATAGTATTAAGATTTCATTCTTACCGCGAAATATCCAAGCACGGAAATGATAAAAGGCATAGAAATTGGAAGGGTTGTAAAAGCAAAATAATCTTCCCATAGCCCTCAAATCATTTAGGGGAACGGCTAAACCAATGAACTTGTAATCCTATATGGCTCTGTTCATCTTTTACTGATTCTAGTGGCTGAGATTAATGCATCATCATTTAATTTGCTATCATTAAAGGTTTGCTTTGTGTCTACAAGTCAGTTTATTTTATCTCAGTTTATTCTCTTTTAACCTGCACACCATGCCTATATTCGTTTAAATGATTTTGATAAATCTCACATTCCTTAGTAGTCTTTATTTCCTTCTTTCCTGAATGCTTCTAAGGTAGTTCTTGTGGTCTTCAGCCATTTCTTTTACCCTTCTTTGCCTTTTTGATTTTTTCTCTCATGTAAGATGCGCTTCACGTTATTCGGGTGTCTCATTCTTTTAGTGGTTTCACTTTTAAATTGTCACATAATTAGTACTTAGATTGCTCATTTGATATTGCAGAATTTGTATTTAAAATTTTAACAAATTGTATTTAATATATGGTGCGAACGGTCTAAAGCCACCACTTTTTTATTTTGTGGTCAAATTTTTTAGCTTTAATACGATCACGTGAAATAAATTTTAATTTATAATCATGTGATTCACTTTATCTAATTATTCTTACAATGCAAATAAACTAAGACTACTTCTAAAAAGAATTTTAAGTCAATATATAGTAAAAAATCAAAAAAGGGATGATTTTTATTTAGATTTTTGATCCAAATTAGGTAATTTCTATAATTCAGCCAACTTTATAATGGCCAAATTCATATTATATATGATCTAAGAGAGTTTATTTAAAAAAAGCCTATTAATTAGGTCATTTCTATTATTTTAAAGTTATATAACAAAAAGTGGTGGCTTTAGACATACTCAAATTGAAATAAATTTATCACTGATATTTAATTTTGATCTTCATACCAAAAATGATGCAGAATGTAATATAAAATTTATTTATTTTTTTATTTTTTTTTGTAAGCAATAATCCTAATTCATTTTTTTTACATCTTTTTCCATTAGGATTTCAAGCACATATGGGCGCGAATTGTATTAGCTTTAAGACATCTTTTAGTTAATATCAGTTCGGGTTCCCCAGAAAAAAACTTGTTCTGCTGGAACACTTGTTGCTTTATAAAAAATGTATTATTTAATATTTAATAATCGACAATTTTTTTTTTTTTTACCTGTAGTTGTTCACACCGTAATCCATTTGTATGTATTCTAGAAGTTGTAATTTCGGTAACGTCAATAGGTTCACTCATTATTTATTTGTTACAAATTAAAGTCGCGTAAATGTAAAAAAAAAAAAAGGTCTAGCGAGTCAATTTATATAATTTTTAAATCATCATCCGGGTCGGGTCAACCGGGTCAAGCAAAAACGTGACAGGTTTTTTTGAATTAGGACTCGTGTCATAAAAGTGATAGTCCCGACTCGATCTGCTCGGAGACCATTATAAAAAATTAATACCAAAAAACTTAAAAATTCTTGTAATTCTATTCTCGGGCCTTGTAATAATATTTTAAAGCTAAATATATATCAAAAAGTGTTTTTCTTATATTTAGTAACTATTATTATTTTTGCGAAATCGTAACTTGAAAGCTAGAATTGTAGTGCGACAAACATAGCGTCGCCCGTAAAAAGTGGTAGCCGGATTTTATTTTCCGGGTATTTATTTATTAGGGTTAGGGTTTGGATTAGGATTAGGATTAGGGTAGAATTAGGATTAGTTAAGGGGTTTAGCAAATTTGTCATTTTGCTTCACATCCAGCCGTTCTTCGATTACTAAGTATTCTGGGGACAGAATTTTTTTTGTGAGAAAAATGCTAATTATCACAATTATATGTCACCCCTAATAAGTTTAAGTATATGTGACGGGCGATGCTAGGGCTGTTATTTTTGATTTGGCTTGTGTAACTTTATTAGTTTAATTAGATAACATACAGTATATCACGGATATGTCTAAATCTGGTGCAATTACGTAAGGCTTATTGATCACCTTAAAAATATAAAAAAAGTTGCAGTCGCTGCCTTTCCTCCATTCCTCTTCTCCTTTAAAGTAGAATTTTTGTAAAATGTCAGCAAAATTTTTTCCAACCTTAAGTCAAAATTATGTTGAATTATTGAATGATGATAATTATTATGATGTTACTGTGGAGGTTGGTGAAGATCCTAATGTCAAAATATTCCGTGCGCATATGAATATTTTGTGCTATCGTTCTCCATATTTGCGACGAGTTTTGTCTTTAAGTAAAAAAAGTAATGATAATAATACCTTGACACATTTAAAATTGCCAAATATTTCACCGGAAACCTTTCAAATTATTTTAAAGTAAGCGTTATCTATACAATATACGTTACAGTATGTATGATAATTTTAAATTTTATTTTAAAATCCTTTTCATAAATTTAGATATATTTATGGCGGCATTCTTTCATTTAATGAGCAAGACGTTTCAAACATTCTTAAAGTTTTGATAGCTGCTAATAAATTATGTTTTCAAGAATTAATTGATTACTTGCA